TACAAATTACTTCGATTTGGCAGATATCATGTTAGGTACTCATATGTAACAATGAGTGAAACTTGAAGTTGTTCACTATTTGGAAGGGGAAAAACAAACACAAAATATTTAAAGCAGTGTATCTTCAGTTGTTTTTCCCACTTTGTCTTCCACAGTTCTCATGTTTTTATTTTTGTATATAGATCTTTGATTCAGAGTCAGCAACATGGGACTAGCTTCACTCCACTGCATGCAGGTAGCAATTTTTCCAAGCATAGTTTCTTGAACAAGCCAACATTTTTTAAGCAAATGTTTTGTTGCAGTGTCCTCTACTCTATTCTATTGATTTATGTGTCTATTTTGTCCTGATTGCATGCTGCTTTTTACAATATGGCTTCACAGTATAACCTAATGTCAGGGGTTGTAATGTCTCCCACTTTGCTCTTTTTGCTTTAGCTGTTCTTGGTCTCTTCTGGTTCTATATCAATGTTAGGGTTGCTTTTTCTAACTCCGTGAAGAATGTTTCTGTTAATTTAATAAGAGTTACATTAAATCTATAGATCACCTTAGCAATATGCCTATTCTAACAATATTAACCTCTGTCCAGAAACAGCGGGTGGTTTTTCCATGTTCTGTTGTCCTCTTCTTCTGAGTCCTGCAGTGATCTTTCAGCCCTTGGCAGCTATCATGCAGAGGACAACTTGCCCGACTTTCTTCTCCGTGGATTATTGGTGTACAGAATTACTGTTCATTTTGTGCATTCATTTCACATTCTTCCACTTTGGTGAATTAATTAGCTCCAAATTCAATTTTATTTGTATGAGAATAGATGGAACTTGCAACCATAATGTTAAGTGAAATCAATGATGTGCATAAGGTGAATTATTGTATGATTACTCTTATGTGAGAAACTATATATATATATATATATATATATAGTGAAAAAGGAGATATTAGGAATCAGGGCTATAGACTTCTTAGAGATGGAGGAAGAGAACAAAGGAGAGATAAAGACAGAAGGAAAAGGAAAGGGAGAAGGGGTCATACATCATGTGTACCAAGTTCCCAAAACAAAGGTAATCATTATGTATCAAAATATATGCCAGTTTAAGATATTAGTATGACATGCATAGCCTTATGCCCACTTGTTGTAATGGGTTTTCTTAAAGGTGAAAAATAATAAGTATTAGTAAGAATGACAGATCAGAGAATACTTTTAAACCATTGATAGGGATATAAGTTCATACAGCTATTGTGAAAACAATACAGCAAGTCCTCCAAATATAAAAATTGAACTAACATATAATCAAGCAATCCCACTACAGGGCTTATATCCAAGAAAAGGGAAAGAAATAGCCTGAAGAGTCTTCTGTCTTCCCCCGTTCATAGCAGCTCTCTTTACCATATCCAAGACATTTAATCAAGTAAGCATTCATCAACACATGAATGGATAATGAAAACATGGCGTCTATATGCAAGAGAATATTATTCAATCTTTTCATGTCTCCCAACCAAGAACGGTCTTGTCTACACCACTACATGTCCTCAACATGCTCCTCAGGTTAGTTTAGTACATTCTGCTTCTGGACACCTTCAACCCTAGTGGTAATAGACATGGCAGCTTGTGGCTTTCCACCCACCACTTAAAATGTGGAACTCAATTCCCGCATTTCATCAGTAAACAAAATTCTAAGCAAACTGAAAACAGAAGGTTCTTCTTGGAATCATCAGCTCATCCAGATCCCAGGGAAAATCACTCTGACTGATGGTGGAAAGAGAGACAGTGAATCCCAATGTATCGCTTGCAGAAATCTAGCAATGGAAACTTCTGTGGAAACCAAACATAGTCCCAGGGTAGGAAACTGAAAATATAATTGATGAATTGCGGCAGGCTCAATGCAAAAAAAAAAAAACTTTTAAGAGTTAAACATAGTGACTTGAACTACATGTATGATGACATTATTCTAGAAACTGATCTAAATGTGTTACGTGGATCAGCTTTTTTAATTCTCAAAACAACTTTACAGTTGGGGGAACTGACACATGGGTTAACATCAATCAGTAAATTGCTTAATGTCACTTCACTAGTGGACACCAGAGCCTGGATGTACATGCAGGGGGGCTGGACCCAGAGCCCACACACTTAGTGACAACACCAGTAGCCATGCTGGAAGCCAGTCATTGATCAGGTAACATATACAGAAACTGCAAAAGCTTGACGACATTCTTCAACAAGCATCTCTCTTCTCAACAAATGGGAATTGCTTCTCCAAACCCTAACCCTGCACTTTAACCACCCCCTTGCCATCCCTCCTCCTGGCGCAGTCTGTAGAATTTCTTCTCTCTTCTCACTACCATTATTCACATTTCTAAAGGCCTCCATAAAGTGCCTCTATGTCAAAATCACTTCCAACTTCATTCTCCAAATAGGGACATGCTCTGTGCTCCTTTTGGTGTCCCTCTTAGGCAGAGCCTAAAAGATTATGATGACTGATGAATATACGTCTTCCAGGTGAGGTCTATTGCTAGTAATTAAACAGTATTAATTCCATCCACTTTGATTTATATTCTGTTCTCTCAGTAATAAGATTCAGTACTCTATTTTCTTTGTACAAGGCACTAAGTAATAGAATTGGTGCTTGAGGATTATCATATATATGTGTTTTTTGGTTAGACAGTGTTGGGGAATTTTTTCAATATATATTACGAATGTATTTATTATTTCCTAGTCCATAAAAATAATTAAAAGCTACAGGCCAAACACAAATTCCTAGAACACAAAAACTCAACTGGCACTGCACAGCCAAATACAAAGGTTGCCAGCTTCTCAGTTTATGGGTTTCTTAATGAGAACTCGTACCTTTTCATTCAGTAAAGGGCTTAGGTGGACCATTCTTCATGGTATTCTCAAGAGTTAGAAGCTAAAACCTTACACATCAAAAATGAAAGTGGCCTGGCATCATATTATAAATGTTTTCAGCATTCACAAATGACTTACTCTAAAATAAAAACTATATTTTAAGAAACCCAAAATATTTTCTGAGAAGTGAAGAGCAGGATGTAAACAATGTGTGTTCAAACTGTCTTAAAAAAGCAAGGAAGGAAGAAAAAATACAAGTAGATCTAATCCATCATTGTGATATCCAATATCCAAGTTTCCCCTTAGATAAAACAGACATAAAACATGTGCTTTACAAGCCTCAGGTGACCCTCAAGACATCTAAGAATAGTATCTATGGATTTTTAAGTATAATTAACAACTCCTGTTTTTCCATTTAAAGGACTCAAACTCTGTTTCCTTGACAGGCAAAAGCCAATCAATCTTCTTCTCAAATGCTAATACAAGCAATTAAAAATAACATTAATTGAAATACGAAATAGGCTTTTAGCTAGTGAGGTTGTTTTGTTTTGTGTTGCTTTGCTTTGTGCTGTTTGTTTTCCTTCATCATAACCTCGTGACAATACTAATTTACAGGACTAATTAGGGCAATACCCTTTGTGTGATCCATTTCTAAGACAAAGAGCTGGCCTTTAAGGCCCATCAGAGAACTGCAGAAGGCCACTGCACTGTGAAGTGTCTCGGCCTTGGCAGGGAGAATGTTTATTTCACCTGGTGGACCAAATGTGACAGATAGGAAATAAAACAATGTGAATATTAATTTTCTGGTTTAGGTAGCAAAAAAAAAAAAAACACTCATTTGTATTGCTGTAAAACTAGTAAAGACGCCCTGTAGGATAAGTAATACTCAAAGCAACAGTCTAATTAAAAGGAAAACTCAGTTGTCTTGCAATATAATATAAGGTGGCACATAACTGTAAATTAGATACATGGTAAAAATGAAAAAGACAGGCTAGATAGGAGAGAAATAAAATAAGATTTGGAAATGTGCTTCTTAAATGAACACAAATTGTAAGATAATGTCTCATTGAACAATAAAAATAACAAACCAGTGGCAAAGATGTAATAGAATTCCCTGTGTATACTATTTTAATCTCAATATAATTTTCCCCAGAGCATCCACATTTATTGAACTACTATGACCATTTCTTTCTCACTCTGTCCAAAGTTACTGAGAGGATGATCTTTACTGTAAATAATTCTCCAGTAATGAACATGGAAACGATCCGGAAATTCACCATGGTTTACAAAAGAAAAAATGGCCTGGTATGGCTCAGGGAAAAGCCTTTGAAGAATGCCAAAAGTCTGCGCCTCCTGGAAGCAGAGTCAGAGTGCAGAACAACTCCCCTCCCCATGTCCACCTGTGTCTTCAACTCTACAGTTTTCTTTCATTTTTCCTGTCTTTAAAACCAGATAAACAGAGATTTCCACACCTCGCCAATCTGTGATGTTCTGGACATCAAGTGAGACCAAAGGAGTACCAGTTAACAAGTACTGAGGTGAGCTGACCAACAGGCACATCTGCACAGGGGCAGCCTCTCAGCCCACAAAGGGAATGATGATGCCCACTAGCTACAAGCCTGTCACACAGGGAGGTGTTTAATAAACACTCCTGAAATACAGAGTGTGTCTCCGGACTCCCGATGGATAGAAGGTGTGCTGGAGGGGAAAGTGGAGACCACCAGGAGTCTGGGGCTACTGCTGACCCCTACTGAGGAAGCACAAGCAAATTCACAAAGGCAGGCAGCACTGTGTGCTTCTGCTACATGTTAAATCCATGTTGCTGACCCCTCACCCCACCTTTGCTTACATTTGTATTGGTCACTTAATTCACATATTTATGTCATGAAGCTCTAAAATGCAAAATTTGAAAAACTCCGCCAAGTAGAGATCACACCCTCATTGTTTTAATTGGGAATAAATTTGAAGTTGAATCTGCTTTGAGCTGAACATCAAGGCACACATATTTTTCCAGACCTTAAAATTTTAATTCACTTTATTATTTTTAGAAGTTCGTAGTGAAAAGAAAGACTTACTCGCCTAAGCTTAGACAGAATTGTGCCAAATACATTTTATTAAATAGATTAATTTCTTATTGAATATAATGTATAGCTATATAATGTGACTTTTATCCTTGTTTTTTATAGTAGATTAAATGCTAGAAAATTAAGGATCATACTATGGTTTGTAAAACAACGGTTCTACAAACAAAAAGAATTCTGGGACCAGAAGTAGGCTAGCAAACAAGTATCTCTACAGAAAGACATTATTGTTACAGCTGCCAATCACAAATTATCTTCATACACTGCGTAATATTTTTCTAGAAATATTTTAAGGAGTTAAACAGAATTTTTCCAAATCTCATTTTTAATCTAAAAAAAACCCCACATTGCTTATGATACCAATATATTAGAAGGCATTTTAAAATACATTGCTAGACAGTGCATATTCAAACTTCTTAATTATAAATCAACTGGTACAGAGGCAAGTACCAGTGTTGAAATCATCTGAGAAATCCACACCAGAGCAGACTGCCTTTCCTGAAGCCCAGGTCTCTTCTCTGGGGACACTTGCTGGGAATCCTCACAACTGAGGACTTTCCAGGCCATTATTTTGGATGACCTTGGCGTACTCCTTGGCTGAGCTATAAGGCACTCGAGGTCTAGCCGGATCTTCAAAATCAACATGAAAGAGACCAAACCGTCGGCTGTATCCATTGTTCCACTCGAAGTTATCCAGAAGAGACCACAAACAGTACAGATGAAGATTAACTTTATCAACATGGATAGCTGCAATTTTTAAAAAAGAAAAATTATTTCTGGAAAAGCTTCCGAAGAATACAGACAAAAATCACTGGTGAACATTCTGGACCCCTCATTCTTGTTTTGCAGGACATCTCAGTGAAAAGTAAAACCCCGGCTCTTTTCTTTCACACATACATGAGCACACACACAGGCACGTGGACATACTTGTACACACAAATAGCACATGAGCTATTGCAAGTGTTAGCCTAATCTAGCTACTCCATAAGATATCTATCTGTCTATCTGTCTATCTATCTATATATATTTTTTTTCTTTTTTTCAGAACCAGGGATTGACCTCAGGCCCTTGTACTTGCCAGGGAAGTGCTTATTCTACTGGGCCATCTCCCTGGCCCCAGGATTCACATATACATATATCAAAACAACATGTGGTAGGACCAGCGAGATAGCTCAGTCGACTAAGTGTCTGCTTAGGCAGGCACAGAGACTGGAGATTGATCCCCAGACCATATGCTGTGCTGGCCCTGCACCCAGATATGCTGAGCTGGCCATTGAGTCCACGCATGGTGGTGCACGCCTGTAATCCCAGCACTAGGGAGGCTGACACAGGGGGATCACTACAAGGCTGAGCTGCATAGTGAGACCCTATATTATGTACCAAATACATTTAAAAAAACAAAAAATCATGTTGTACACCAGAAATATAAAATCACCATATCCAATTTTCTGCTTGTATTAAAGCAGTGACTTCATTCAAGAGGTTAAGTTACACAGTATTCTTATTATGTGTGATTCATTCATTTTAACATTTGGTTTATTCCTTCATTTGATAAATTTTTAAAACCCATCATGATCCAAGCACCAACACACATTTTTTCTTTGTCCCTAGAAACATATTCATCAAAGACATTTTCAAGCTTCTCTACTGCAGCCTCCAGGAAGCCAGAGGCTCCACTCTTCCACTGCTGTCACCACTGAGGTGACAGTACACGCTTGAGGGAGTCTCTGAACTTAATTTGTGTCCCCATGTTCAGACTGACATGTGTCTTACAATTCTGAAAACAGAGCCTCCAAAGTCAAAAGTGAAGGCACATGCCTATCTTAGATGAAGTGCAACAAAGCAAGGACTTCCTGCCTTAGTCTGGTTGGGTTGTTATCACACATCATAGACTAACTCACTTATAAACAACAGAAATGTATCTTTCCTAGTTCCAGAGTCTGGAAAGTCGTACATCAAAGCAGTGACAAATTTGGCATCTACTGAGGGGCCATAACTTGGTTTATTGATAAGCACCTTCATGCTATGTCCTCAAGAGGCGAAAGAGACAAGGGAGCTCCTCTGTACTTCTCCTTGCCTAGTCACTAATCCTATTTAGGAGGATGTGGTTCTCATAAACTAGTCTCCTAATGATTCCACTTACAATATAATCACAGTGGGGGCCTAGAAAGCAACATGAATTTTGGGAAGACCCAGTCTTCATTCGATAGCGCATTTCCTCTGTTCTCTATCTAAACTCAAGAGTGCTGCATAAACCTTTTCAAAACCAAAGAAATAATTATCTCCTCAAAAATTCACATACACACAAACACAATATTCTATCTTATTTCATTTAGGAATATTCCCAAATCCATCCAAAGATTCCCTGTTAGGACACCCAAATGTAGAAAATTCTCTAAATAATTTCACAATAATTCCAATTGGTTCAGTTGAGGGATTGGGTTTTCTTCGTATTAGCACTTTAAGTTCAGGAAACTCTGAAATCCTATAAATCTTTGCATGAAGCACTTCCTTTAAAAAATATCAGAATAAGTAATATCCATTTCTCCAAGCAGAATCTAAATGAAAAGTTAGCACTATTTATGAAAATGGTTATATACTTTAAAAAGCTGGGAAAATTAACATTTATATAACAAATCAGATTTTTAATTGAACTGAGATTGTTTTCAACTGAAATGATTCTATGATATGCAAGGAGGCAAGATGAGCTCTTCAAATTTTCTTTAGTGGCAATCTGTACTTTTCAGGTCTCTCCAAAGCGCCACACCCATACTCTGCCGTATATGTTGGTCTACACGTCTTGCTTTCCAGTGTGTTCTTTCTACCATGGATGTTACATGAATGAAATGTCCCTACATGCCTTCATTGGCATGTAGCCCTCCACATTCGTGAAACGGGGCATGTAAAGCGCTTCGCTTACAGCATACCTTAGAAATGACCTAAGGCAGAAACTATGGCAAGCTGAAATACCTCTTTTAAAACAAAATGCTACTAGAAAATGAAAAAATACAGCACTCCAGCTACTAAGTGTTGCAGGAATAAAAACATTTTCTAGATAATACCTCTTCCTATCTGCTCTCATTTGCATGTGTGTCTCCCCCTTTATGGTCAATTAAAATTTGTAAAATATAACCTTTGTAATAATTTCTCTTCAGAAACCCAATTTAAGTACATATTTCTAAGCATCAAAACACTCACACCCAAATACCAGAATAGAAAACAATAATCTTTGTGGCTTTGTGATTAAATACACAAGAGAATCTGCTTTTTTTTTCTGGCAGAACTGCTGCCCAAAGAGAAAGCCCACCCACTAGTTATAAGCCAGACATTTTTCAAAAACAGACACAGTCTCACTGATCACGTATAAAAGGACTGATTCATGTGCTAAACCAGGGGATTAAAAACGAGGTCCTGCCTGCTTGAAGAAGAACAAAAAGCAAATCTTGACAATTTCATTGTTAACTGCCAGGAGGTCAGCAGGAAACACTAAACTGCCCAAGTGACACTGGTGGTGGCCCCACATGCTAGCTGCGGGAACATTCAGATAGAGAATTACCTAGTTAGACCAGAGGGACTAGCTTGCTGGATTCTCACTGTACCACCACTTGAAAAAATGACAAAACCACATGGAATCTGCATGCCTCTCCTCTTCCAATCTTCTCAGGACTGGGAAGAGACCATCATCACATTTCTCATCACCATGCTTTATGAGGGTCCAAATCCTGGCAGAGGAGAGAATCATTTCCGTGGGTTCTCATTCTTTCCTTAACCAGAGTTAGAGGTAAAGTCAACACAGACCAACAGAACTTTGGATGGGTACAGAGCACACTGGGATACAAATGGTACCCATTCCAAAGACATGCAACGGATGACAAGGCTTTAGAAAGGGTCCCACAGTCAAGAGGCTGGATGTAAAGATGCAAAGAGAAAAACTGCCAAAGTTTGCTTCAGTCTTGCTATTCTAGTTATAAGACCATGCTAGTGTTGCATTCCACACAGTC